CTTCGTAACCCCTCTAATGGGCATTGCGGCACATATTGATTATATCCATTTTGTTCCTCTGTCGATAAGCTTTCAAATGGTGTATAAGGTATATCTGTAATTAGGGGCTGAAGGGTCGTAGCAGTCCATTCCATTATTCAAAATAAGCTTTTGCTTATTGTTGACACGTATTTCGACATTTAGGTCCTCCGAAACTCCTCTAATAAGTGATGCGGGACATATTGACTATATACCTTTTGTTCCTCTATTGATAAGCTTTCGAATGACGTATAAGATATATATGTAATCGGGGCTGAAGGGTCGCAGCAGTCCATTCCATTATTCAAAATGCCCATTTCATTATTCAAAATTGGCTATTTCTTAATTTTCACGCGTATTTTGGTATTTAGGTCCTCCGTAACCCCTCTAATGGGCATTGCGGCACATATTGATTATAACCATTTTGTTCCTCTGTCGATAAGCTTTCAAATGATGTAGAAGGTTTCTCTGTAATTAGGAGCCGAAGGGAAGTAGCAGTCCATTCCATTTTTCAAAATAAGCTATTTTTTATTGTTGACGCGTATTTTGACATTTAGGTCCTCCGAAACTCCTCTAATTGGTGTTGCGGGACATATTGACTATATACCTTTTGTTCCTCTATTGATAAGCTTTCGAATGATGTATAAGGTATATCTGTAATTAGGGGCTGAAGGGTCGCAGCAGTCCATTCCATTATTCAAAATGCCCATTTCATTATTCAAAATTGGCTATTTCTTAATTTTCACGCGTATTTTGGCATTTAGGTCCTCCGTAACCCCTCTAATGGGCATTGCGGCACATATTGATTATATCCATTTTGTTCCTCTGTCGATAAGCTTTGGAATGGTTTATAAGGTTGCTCTGTAGTTAGGGGCTGAAGGGTCGTAGCAGTCCATTCCATTATTCAAAATAAGCTTTTGCCTATTGTTGACACGTATTTTGACATTTAGGTCCTCCGAAACTCCTTTAATAGGCGTTGCGGACCATATTGACTATATACCTTTTGTTCCTCTATTGATAAGCTTTCGAATGACGTATAAGGTATATCTGTAATTAGGGGCTGAAGGGTCGCAGCAGTCCATTCCGTTATTCAAAATGCCCATTTCATTATTCAAAATTGGCTATTTCTTAATGTTCACGCGTATTTTGGCATTTAGGTCCTCCGTAACCCCTCTAATGGGCATTGCGGCAGATATTGATTATAACCACTTTGTTCCTCTGTTGATAAGCTTTCGAATGCCGTATAAGGTATATCTGTAATTAGGGGCTGAAGGGTCGCAGCAGTCCATTCCATTATTCAAAATATCCATTTCATTATTCAAAATTGGCTATTTCTTAATTTTCACGCGTATTTTGGCATTTCGGTCCTGCGTAACCCCTCTTATGGGCGTTGCGGCACAATCGATAAGCTATATCTACAATCAGGGGATGAAGAATAGCAAAGATCCAGTGAAAATAAATTACAATGTAGAGTATTTTGATTTTTATATATGTTTTGGTATTCAGGTCGTCCATACATTAAAACAAGGAATTTCTGTTAAAAATAGTTAGGGAAACTTACTAGTTTATCCTCCGAAACTAAATAAAAAATTAATAAAGATAAAAAAAAAAAGTGTTTTGATTTATTTTTTCTTAGATTAATTTGAATATTTGTTAAATAACACCAAAATGACGAATTCAGAAATACGGGATATAGGGTCACAGCAAAAAATTAATTTTCGATTTCATTAATCACTTTTCAGCTTGAATACTGAAATATGAACTATTTCATTATTCATTATTCATTACTAAAGTTTGAATAATGAATAATGAACTATTTCATTATTCATTTTTGAATTTTGAATAATGAAAAATGAATAATGGACGTATTTCAGCGTGGTGTGTATTGGATAGAGTTGTATGTACATTATATTCCACCTCATGAAACTGAAAACTAGAACTTTGGCCCAGATCATTTCACTTATATCAACAAATACTTGAATGAACCTCAACATGCTCAAAACCCTGACATTTTATTCTTGGATACATGATTTTTGTCGAGCCTGCGACTTTTGTCGCAGAAAGCTCGACATAGGGATAGTGATCCGGCGGCGGCGGCGGCGGCGTTAGCTAACTTCTTAAAAGCTTTATATTTTAGAAGGTGGAAGATCTGGATGCTTCATACTTTGTATATGGATGCCTCATGTTACGAAGTTTCCGTCAGTCACATGTCCAATGTCCTTGACCTCATTTTCATGGTTCAGTGACTACTTGAAAAAAAAGTTAAGATTTTTTGTAATGTTAAATTCTCTCTTATTATAAGTAATAGGATAACTATATTTAGTATGTGCGTACCTTGCAAGGTCCTCATGCCCGTCAGACAGTTTTCACTTGACCTCGACCTCATTTCATGGATCAGTGAACAAGGTTAAGTTTTGATGGTCAAATCCATATCTCAGATACTATAAGCAATATGTCTAGTATATTCGGTGTATGGAAGGACTGTAAGGTGTACATGTCCAACTGGCAGGTGTCATCTGACCTTGACCTCATTTTCATGGTTCAGTGGTTATAGTTAAGTTTTTGTGTTTTGGTCTGTTTTTCTTATACTGTATGCAATAGGTCTACTATATTTGGTGTATGGAATGATTGTAAGATGTACATGTCTAGTTGGCAGGTGTCATCTGACCTTGACCTCATTTTCATGGTTCAGTGGTCAAAGTTAAGTTTTTGAGTTTTGGTCTTTTTTTTCTAATACTATATGCAATAGTTCAACTATATTTGGTGTATGGAAATATTTTATGATCTATATGTCAGTCACGCAGGTTTTATTTGACCTTGACCTCATTTGTTAGGTTCATTCCTCAGTGTTAAGTTTTTGTGTTTTGGTCTGTTTTTAGCTCACCGGGGCCCGAAGGGCCCCATGTGAGCTTATGCCATCACTTGGCGTCCGTCGTCGTCCATCGTCTGTCGTCGTCGTCTGTCGGCGTCGTCTGTCGTCGTAAACTATTTCAAAAATCTTCTCCTCTGAAACTACTGGGCCAAATATCTTCAAAGTTTAACTTAATGTTCCTTAGGGTATCTAGTTTATAAAGTGTATCCGAAGTTTTGATCCATCGACAAACATGGCCGCCATGGCTAAAAATAGAACATAAGGGTCAAATGCAGTTTTTGGCTTATATCTCAAAAACTAAATCTTTTAGAGCAAATGTGACAGGGGTAAAATTGTTTAATTGGTCAATATCTATCGGCCCTGAAATTTTCAGACGAATCGAACAATCCATTGTTGGGTTGCTGCCACCGAATTGGTAGTTTTAACAAAATTTTGCAGTTTTTTGTTATTTTGAATATTATTATAGATATATATAAACTGTAAGCAGCAATAATGTTAAGCAAAGTAAGATCTACAAAAAAAGTTAATACGACCATAATTGTCAATTGACCCCTTAAAGGAGTTATTGCCCTTTAAAGACAATTTTACACAATTTGTACAAGTTTTCTAACATTTAAAAATCGTCTCCTCTGAAATACAGGTGAGCGATTAAACTATAAGCAATAGGTCAACTATATTTGTTGTATGGAAGAATTGTTAGCTGTACATGCCTGCCTAGCATGGTTCATCTGACATTGACCTCATTTTCATGGTTCATTGGTCAATGTTTAGTTTACTTGGTTAATGTTAAGTCTATGTGACAGTTGTAATAAAGCTTTATATTTAGGACTCTCAACATAATATCAATGATTAGTAAAGAAGGCGAGACATTTGAGCGTGTACACTCTTGTTTTCATTAGTTGTTGGCTTTCAACTAGCTTTCCACTTGGTCTTCATCCGACCTACAATAAAACCCTTGACAAAGTGGGGTGTCCGTTTGGCTATGTGGGATGTATAAATACGCAGTCACGTCTGGTCAGAATGGGGACGTTAAATCCGATGCCTAGTATAGAGAGAATGTCACGCTCTATGCACGTTGAGAACACTTGCAACAACTCTTTGAGGGGTCCGACGGTGGTCTACGCTGCTGAAAAATGCAAAATTTCTGTCCCTTTGCTATAAACCCTCATTTTCCAATGGCATTTCCAAATTTTCAGACCTTCATCCTAGACGACCCATATTACAGGACCTACCTGTTATATTAATTGTAAACTTGTTTGTGTCCTGAACATGCATGAGCTATTTGCCAATCGTAACTTCGAGGACTCTCAGATCTACGTCGTGTAATGACCATAATTATTCAAATTCCTAAGCAAGTAGGGATTTTACAGTACAGGTTATCAGAAAATATGAATTTCTTGAATTTTGTTAGATAGTATGAACAGAACCAAGCTTCTGCATAAGGCATCGACTATGTGTGATCATGTGTATGTATGTTTGTGAGGCCGAGGGAAGTTGGTTTAAGAATCAAAAGATGAACGGTCGATGCCTAACCCAAAGGGTAGTATTATTATACAGTATTCTCAGTGTTTACGTACCTATTTTTTAATGAAGGATTGTAAATATGTACTGTCAACTGACCATGTTGACGTATATATCAATTATCCTCTGTCAGAAAGGAATATATTTGAAAATAATAAACAGGATGTACTGCTTAATTAAAGGGCTACGCCGATCTACGCTGGGCAGTTCATATTGTAAATGGGAAAACAATAGAATTCCGATTGTACTGCGTTAATTCATCAGTAAGATGTTATTGTAAAATTATTTATAACTCTTCGAACTTTTCTTCATGTATATCATCATGATAAAATCACCAGTAAATATTATGTTTTTTTACACAAAATTTGCAACTAAAAATGCTGAAAACCGTTTTCCGTCGGGGTGCTTCGCCCCCCCCCCCCCTGAACCCCCTACCAGGGATCTGCCTTGGACCTGAAGGAGGCCTTAAGCGGCCCCAAAACCCCCTGCCGGATCCCCTGCCTACAGTTTATTTGATACCTAGCTACGCCCCTGATAGTATATTACTTTTCCCACTTGAGTAGTTTTACATGTATAGTAATTACATCAACGACAGGATTTACTGAAAGGTTGAGTAGTCACCGAAAGAAAAATTAAATGTTCATCCAAATAGCTGAAATACACATATTCACCTGTGAACAGACAAAATAAAGGTAAGCCGAAACTGTTATCCCCAAGTTTAATTGTCTAATGATATGCTAATTATAAATATACATATTCTAATTCTGCTTATACAAATTGTTTGTTATTGTAAATGCAAAGTTTATAATGATACTTATGATTTGACAAATCAACAATCACAATTAATTCAGAAGAAAATACTGTTTACATAAAAACTTTTATTTAGGCTTTGCAGGTAGTCATATTAATATATACATATGTCAAGATTATAATAAAATGCAATACCATGTGATCATAGATTATAGATTCAGATTCAGATTCAATAGTTAATTAAAGTCTCACCACATACAACATAGTTAAAACAAGATACAATTATTTAATTAAATATACAGTAAACATATTTAAAACAATTAAATATATGTATGTGCCATTCTTAAAAAAATTATGAGACTATTAAAATACATATCTATACTAATTCATTTTATAAAATACTACAAATAGTTAATGATATAAAATACTGTTTCTCCTTGTTAAAATGTTATTGCAGGTTTTGGCAACAATATTACACGTACTGCTATTTTTAAACATATATATAAATTTTTATAATCAACAATCACAATTAATTCAGAAGAAAATACTGTTTACATAAAAACTTTTATTTAGGCTTTGCAGGTAGTCATATTAATATATACATATGTCAAGATTATAATAAAATTGCAATACCATGTGATCATAGATTGTAACTGACAAATAAACTGTGAATTAAAGAACTACTAAGAAGTATCTTAATAAATATAAAGAATGAAGCATAACAAAATAAAAATTCTATGAGATACAAATGAAATGTAAATTTCATACCCGCCAAACCGAAGGTCCGCCAAACAAACAAATCTCAGAAACTGCAAATTGCAACTTTTATAACAATTCTAAAATAATTTAAAGAGTAAGTCTACACCATCTTCTATAATCCAAGTCGAGGACTCGAACCTCGATCCCCCATCACAAGGACAGGTGTACTAACCATTGTACAAACACAGGATGCATGATAGAGTCAACAGTGTAAACCCTCTGCAATAATAGATGAAAACAGGATCAAAAGTCTACTCTCTCTCATGTGGAGATAAAGAGTAAACCATCTCCTAAAAATAAGCTGCAATTTACTAGTAAATTTGAATTTAAAATTCTAAATCAAATTTCAAACACAATCTAAATTCATTCTACTTCAAAAGATTTAAAGATGTGCAAGAGTATTAGCTATAAAGCTAAAAACCTTATTAAGACCAGTAGTGGACAAATGCAATTTGTCAATAGAAAACAAAGTGTTAATTGGCTTCCTCACTCTATTATAAAAAGTCTTCTCACATGCCATGTATCTGACGTTAGTAAGAGAGGAAGCCAACTGTTTTAGTACATTGTTAAAACTGATGACGAACAATTCAGAATTATTAAAATCACATGGCCTGGGTAATATTGAGGATAAAATAATCACACAATCTGGATTACAAATCCTCAATTCATGTATAATATCCCGAATGTATTTTTCAAATACATTAGTATTAATATTAAATAGATCATTTGTACCCACATGTACAATTATATTGTTAAAATGGTACCAGGTGAATACCCTGTTTTTTAATTTCCTTAAAAGCATTTCGCAACTCAGACCACCAAAGGCCTGAAGTTGCGTATTCTTCATTTCCGGAAGATACTTTAAAATTGAATCTGATATTACTATACTGGGTTTACCCCATGCCTTCAAACCTACAATATAATATAACTTATTAACTACTAATAAAATTATAATTCCAAATAAAAAACATATATCACAGTCTACAAATCATTTTTGACGAGACTTGCATCTTATCAGCTAAACCATATCTAAGATACAATTTATAGGCGTCACTCTTCCAACCCCCTTGTAATTTTGTTCTGGTAAAATTACTTCAAATACTGCAATATACAATTTACAATGATCTTTCTTATGTAAACATGAATTTTGTAGTCAGGCTTTTTTATTCGGGCAATTGTCTGAACACTCAGGATGTGTTTTTTGGATATTATCTTTTTGCCAACATGAAGCACATATGTGATGCACAGTCCTAGTTATACCTCTAATGACTGTTGTGTGAGTTGAGTTGCTATGTTCACATTTATTGCGCTGATATTTAACGCAAAACCAAATCTGCTCTTTACCAGTTTGATTTTTGGAGACTGATCTAAAATTGGCTTGCCTCACTTCTTTTGGCAAACTTTGTCCACTTAACATTACATTCTCTAACATCTGTGAGTCATCAGACCATGTTTTTCTACCTAACTCAATAAGTCTTAACCAGGCAGCATAAAATTCTAATACAGATGCCCAGTGATAAATGGAACTAAAATAGGCAATTTTCTGTAATAATTTTAAACGTCCTTCTTTTTCAGATTTGTTTTTGCAGAAATTATTTATAATTTCAAGTTCTCCTGCAACAAGCATTTTAAAATTCAATTGTTTGAACTCCAAATCTTTACTCACATACTCATACTGTAAAAAATTATGTGGAAAAAACTGTGGATTTATAACTTTATCTGCAGATTTTATTTTAAGTCCTGACTTTTTACTCTTTTTCTTTGACGATAATTTAGCTGACAATTCATAATCAGATGAATCCTCAAAGCTGGAAGTTGAACTTGTTTCAGATTTAGACTCGGTACTACTGTTCCCTCTCAATACAGATTCAGGCAACTGTACCACCTTCTGAGATTTATAATCAGAATGTTTTCTCCTATGTTGACTAGTTTTAGAAACAGAACCCTTAGCTAAATTTAATTTCTTTAATTGCTGCAATAACTCTTGTTCACTTGTAACTTTTTCACTTTTAAATTTAACATTTTTATTTTTTGAAGTTTCAGCTAGCTCGGACTTTCCACTAAAATTTGTTTCAAAGTCCAAACCTAACCTCTTCATTTCATCATTAACAACTTTATTTAATTTATCGTTAGATCTTAAATGCGTTAATGTGATCTCACCCTTTGACTTCTTGGACTTCTTTTTAGGCTTTTCTTCTAACTTTGACATACCATCTACTTCCGCTTCTAACTCTTTAATCCGCTTGTTGAGCTGATCCCTCTTGAGTCGTTGTTTCTTTTCTTCTAGCAACATAATTCTCAACTCCAGATCTTCATCAGACTCATGTTGCTTTAACTTATGACTCTCTTTGCTCTTTGTTTTATGTGGTGTAGTGTAAATTAAAGCAGCGGCCTCGTTCAATTTGTTCGACTCGTCATCCGACATAAGGTCTACTATATCGTCTTCCTCTGCATGAAGTTGCAACTCATCCCGATCCGAATTACTATCGGCCATTTTCTGAAATATATACTCAAATGCCATGTCATCTATACCAGAAGTTCCAAAATTATTAAAAATTTCATAATCTACTGTCTTTTCTCTTAGGACGATCCATAATTTACGGAAATACTAGATAAAAGTAACAAAAACTGTATAAATCTCAACGACGACGACAAGCGTTGATAAAAAATGAACAAACGACGAAATTCTCAAATTAAATAAAGAATATCGACAATTCGCTATAAACTATAAGTGCATGTTTCTGAAGAAATGAACAAACGACGAAATGCTCAAATTAAATAAAGAATATCGACGATTCGCTATAAACTAAATAGTTTTTGAAAAATTCGTAAGGGCTCCGCGGAACCCAGTGTCTCGCCTACTTTTGCTGTTAATCGCAGGCTCAACAAAAATGAGGAAAAAATTAATAAAAAATACTCCTCAATATACTATCTTTTGATTGTAAGTAGCTTCTGTCCAAGTTTGGTAAAAATCCAGGATAATTTATTAATCTAATAAATGTTTTAAAAACTTAAACTGCAGACTGTATGTAATGTTGACTGGAAGAAAAACTAAGTTCATTTATAAGTAAAATACGGAAAAAATGGAACAAAATTTTATCAAAATTGCCTTCTAGATACTAGCTTTTGATCATAAACAAGCTTCTGTCCAAGTGTGGTACAAATCCAGGATAGTTTAAGAAAGTTGTTAAAATTTTAAAAACTTTAACCACAGAGTGAATGTAATGTTAACTGGCAGAAAAACTAAGTCCATTTATAAGTAAAATACGGAAAAAATGGAAGTTTTTTTTTACAAAATTTACTTCTGGATACTATCTTATTATGATCATAAACAAGCCTCTTTCCAAGTTTGGTAGAAATCCAGGATAGTTTAAGAAAGTTATTAAAATTTCAAAAACTTTAACCACAGAATGAATGTAATGTTTCCTGGCAGAAAAACTAAGTCCATTTATAAGTAAAATACGGAAAAAATGGATTTTTTTTTTAAAATTTACTATTGAATATAATCTTATGATCATAAAAAGCTTCTGTCCAAGTTTGGTAGAAATCCAGGATAGTTTAAGAAAGTTATTAAAATTTCAAAAACTTTAACCACAGAGTGAATATTTGTGGACGCCGCCGACGACGCCGACGACGACGACGACGCCGACGGAATGTAGGATCGCTATGTCTCGCTTTTTCGACAAAAGTCGAAGGCTCGACAAAAATGAACAAACGACGAAACACAATGTTCATTAACAAATTAACTACGCTGATAGAAGTTTCAACGACAAACTAAGACATATTTAAACATAAAAAAAAATTGACTACCTGTTTTCTGGTGTTTCTGATAAGTGATAATTAGTAGTGAGTCCTACTTTTAAACAAATTTTTATCCAATATAAATTACTGTACTGCGTGACCAATAAAAAACGTGTTTAAATTAAATTAGAATATAGCAAAGTGTTCTCGACCAATGAAATTGTAGGATTTGATGTCTTTTAATTGTGAAGAATGAATGTAAATCATGTTCTTAGTAAGGGATTATCCTATTATTTGTGTCTATTTACAGTTCAAAACAAAGAGTTTCTATAAATGAGTTACAACTGCCCCGAAGCACATTTATCAGATTGAAAGGATTTATCACAGTGATTGAAACTGACTAAAAGTTGAATTGTGAAACAAACAAAAAAAATCAAAATAA